CCCCCCCCCCCCCCCCTCCCCCGAAGCAAGCGGCCGTGCTGGGTGTGGAGCACAGTGGGAGCTGGAGCTTGACCCTTCTACTTCCCAGGGCAGAAAGGGGATGCCTGGCTGGGGAGACTGGGTTAGTGGTGTCGGGCACAGGAGAGAGCAGGGTGTGGGAGCAGCTTCTCATGGTCATTTGGGTGGCTGGGCAGGAGTGGCCCATGCCTCGCAGCAGGCAGGTTTGGGTACCTCCGCTCCCAGACCCCCGTGCAGGCTCCCTTCTGATGGGGCTGCGTGGTTACGAGCAGCTCAGTTCTGGATGCTTTTTCTCAGCTTTTTTTTTTCCTGTTCAGTTCCTAGCTTTGAAAGATATGCTCCGAAGGTTGGATAGCAACACTCAGAGCTGGAGAAGACCTGCTGCAAGGAGCATCTTCCTTGCAGCTTCCTTCAATGATCCCTGATTTTCTGGTGCTAATGGCCGTTTTATAGATTTGGACAGACTCCTGTTTGCGATCTGAGATTTTCATCTTCGCAACAATATGGAAGATATTGCTGTGTTTGATAGCTCAAAGACTGTATTCTCTGCTGTTTCTGTGCTACAGCGCTTGAGCTTTGCAGAGACAGTGTGTTTGGGTTGTTCAATTACTAGATGTAGGTACAGTTTACCTAACTTTCTAGCTCATTTCTGTAATCGCAGCTGTGAATGTGAATTACATGTGAGTTACAATTCACATTAAGTGAATTGTCATAGGCTTATAGGAGGAGGCATCATTAATACATTCCTTTGCACAGGGGATTCTTTTTGTTTTCAGTATAAGGTGAGACTTGAGTGTCTACATAATTTCTCAAGGAACAAATGTTTTGCCACCTCTTTATTTCAGCAGCTGTGTTTGGGTATGTGTTTTGCAGAGTTTATTTTTTTGACAGGGCTATCTTCTAATGTGTGGCAAATGAAACATTCTTTTTGTGCCGTCTGGATTTGTTTTGGAGAAGAGGGAAGCATGCTGACAAGATTTACAGTATACGATTTACCATATACGTGCAAATCTCTGCTTGGACTGTGCAGTTGGTTCTACTTGGGAGGTCTTAAGGGTTTATACAGATAAGTATATTTTGCTTGAAAATGATACAACTATTTCATTGTATTTCAGGGTGAAGGCTGTCGCACTGTCCCGCTTTCTGGACACGTAGGATTTGACAGTTTGCCTGACCAGCTGGTTAATAAGTCAGTTAATCATGGGTTTTGTTTCAACATCCTGTGTGTGGGTGAGTATTTCCATTTTGGGAAGTTCTTTTGCTGAAAAGGACTTCTCTGCAGCTGGATGTAGTTTGTAGGTGACGAGTTAACAAGGTAGCTTTGATTTAAATTTCCCCCACTGTTCTGTCTATTTTCAGTAACAAGATTTACTGGTGCCCTGGGAAATCCCTGCTGAGGTTATGCAGTATGGCTTTCTACCAAGCAGTGAACCATAGAAATAAAATGTCTAAAATCGCAGGCTTTTATTAAGATCTTTATTTTCCTAGTATGTTTCAATTTCATGTTTTTAAAAGAAAATAGATACTCATGCCAGAGAACTTTATTCTGAGGTCTTGTTTGGTTAGGTATTGAATTATTATTGTAATTATTTTAACAAAATACCAGTCATGCTCCTCTTAAATCACTAAAAGCTATTTTTTTCTCCTCCCTTCTGTGCATACTTGAGTTAAAATAGTGTCTGGCCAAGCCTTAGCTGGTCAGACGATTATCCAAGCTGCCATGTGGTATGGATCTCAGCTGGGGCCTGGCGCTGTAGTAGGACTTGATGTCTGTCCCTGCAGCGTCTGCCCGTCTCGCAGGTCTTCCCCAGGGTTAGGATCCCAAATGGTCCCTCCTCAGAGGCACTCCCGAGTAATAGAATAAGTAATATCTTGTATGGCTTTGTTATGGTAGTTTGGTAAGGTGGATAAGGAAATTAATAATAGGCAATAATTGTCTGATAGGATGGTTAGTTTGGTTTACTGATGCCGGTGCCCTGCCTCTGGGAGCAGGAGGTTATTGTGTGGCCGTGGCTGCTCAGAGTAAGCCCTGTCAGCAGATGCTCCCAGCAGTGCCTGGCGTGACAGAGGGGAGAGCTGCGGCTGTGGATACCTCCTGGGGACTCATCTTAGCTGGTGGTCAGCTCTGCATCCGCACAAAGGTTGTCTGTCCCCTCCCGTGAGAGATCCAGTCATGGTATGGACCTGATGTTTGCCCAGGACAGGGTTAAGTCTGAGACGAGAGGGGTGGAGTGAGGAGAGGGGAGCAGAGCCCTGTTAAATGGAGCTGAGAAGAAAACTTTCCCTGACAGTGGCATTCCTGTGAAATGATAAACTTTGCTGACAAGTGGAGGTCACTGTCAGGCTGAGTCGCTAGGCGATTTCCACAGTACGTGAATGTGATATGACCTAGTGAAATTCTTGTCCCAAAGATTGAAGTCTTACAGTATTTCCTTTTGCATTTATCGAGCTGCTGTGTTTTTTTCTACAAGTTACAGGTGCAGCAGTGGATGCCTCCTGTGGTTATATGTTCACTTTGATGGGTGGAGAGGAGTTGAATGCCTCTGCTTTCCTCTTTGCAGGACAGAAATGGAACGCATTAATCGCTTGTTGATCTGAATAACAAGGACTCGCCAAGATCAAGGCACATTAGTTATTAATGTCAGTCTTCTAGGAATAGTAATAACACAGACATGGTCGATCTTGAAATAAATAAACTTTATAGAAAAATTTAATAAGCTTCATTAGGAAAGGATCCGCAAATCTTGAGTTGAGGAGGTCAGGCTTTAAAAAGACTTTTAAGAGTTGTCTGGTGCCTCTGTTAACTTGTGATAACAAAGTTAAACTCTTAAACGTCCTGGAGAAAGAAAACAAAAAGTCCTAGAATCCATCTGTCATTTATTCTGTTGGGTCTCACTTGTACAGCAGGAGTTTGGGGTGAAAAATTGAAAGAACAGGGAGCAAATGAGGATTGGAGTCACCAAACAACAAATAGGTGAACTGATCCCATACGCCACTAAGCATGATAGAAAGGCACTTCATTGCCCCCCATTTTTCAGCTGTGTCTGGCATCTGTTGAAGGAAAAATCCAATGACAATTTTGCTCTGCGCCATACTGGATCTGAGCCACCGATTCCTCCAGCTCCTGGTGGAGGAGCCAAAGAAAGCTTCAGAAATGACTCTTAGCAGCACGTCCAGAGAGGAGCAATTTTTAGCTCTTCTCATGCTGAAAGCTGTCTCCCCTTTGAGACTAGAGCCAAAGATAGAGTAAATGAGCAAAGCTCTCATAAGAAGTTAGGGGTTGCGGATGGTTTCTCTGATATTTTATTCCTCAGCACAACCATTTTCTTCCTAAAGCTTCCGTGATAAAATGTTAGTTGCCTCTTAGTTCAGTGCAAAGGCTGGAGAAGTATTTAATGGCTGAGACCTTCTGTGCTGACTGTATTTCTCAGTGAGATGGGGGAAAGAAAGAGGAATAGGCTGACATTTTTTAATGTAAACTTTCTCAGTTTTGGCCAGGGTAGATTATAGTTGCATTAGACTAGTATTCCATTATAAACAGGAGTTTCCCCCTTCCTCTCTCCCGGGATTTGCAGGGGATTTGTTTTAAGCAGCCTATTCAGTGCAATGAGAAACGGCTATTTTGTGGCAGAAATACCTTCTCTTTTCCCAGGGGCTGTACCACAACTGCTTGAGGTCTCTCACTAGAAATGAGTGAGTCCCTTGGCACGCGGGAGCTCTCACTGGCTGGGGAAGGGAGGAATGTGCACAGGTTTCCTTGTGCAGAGCTGCTGTCTGCTCTCCAGCAGGCAGCTTTCTGTGGGGTGATGAGCTGTACAGCCTGGAAGTTGCCCAACGGTTGTTTTTGTGGTCACTGGTGCAACCAGCTGAGGAGAGAACAGGGTTTCTCCAACCGAAAAGCCATTGGTCTCCTCAGCTCTCTCCTGCCCCCTCGCCGCTGGTCCCCCAGGGCGGACGGCGGCGGCTGGGAGCTGGGTAGTCCTCTGAGGCGCTTCAGCATCTGTTGTGAGCCCATATTGCTCCTCTTGCACCCACAGCCCAGCTTTTGCCTTGCGATGGGTGAATTGTGCGGCGTCTCTGTACACCTGTCAGATGAAAAGAACTATTTTTTCCTCTCTCCGTGAGAGATGGCCTTATCAGGCTGAGCTGCCTCAGGGCTTGTCTCAACAAACCTGCTACATTGGATTAGCTCCCATTTCTTCACATAAAAGGGCTGTGCATGTGTATACATTTTCTTTAAGATTGAATTATTTGATATCTGGAGCCACGGTTGTTAATCTTGTGAAGGACAGGATTACGGTTGGACTCGATGATCTTAGAGGTCTTTTCCAACCTCAATGATTCTATGATTCTATGACAGGTGTTGCTCTCTCGTGAAAGGGCGCTCTCGTGAAAGCTGCTCCATGCCTTTGAACAGGGAAATACTCCAACGGCTCCTCTGTCCTCCCACAGAGTTGATTGAGGATGATATGACTGGGGCCTCTTAAATCCTGAGTGATGTGGAGAAGGGGGCCAGCAAGCAGTTGTTTGTTGTTTCCCTTAACATGTCCTAGGGAAAAGCAAATTAAATAGCCAGGCACAAAAAAGGAGATATAGCTTTTGTGGTGTATAATTCAGCTTACTGCTGTGGGGTGCTTAGGATGCCAAAATTTCTGTGGAAGGAAGAAGCCATGAGGGTGCGTTGAGCACAAAGATACCCGTTTTGGTTTGGGAAGCTGGGAGCTTCCCAAAGGAAGGAGCATTTGCTGTGGGTGCAGCTTCTTCTGTTCCTCCACCTTAGCTGCTGGCCAATGTCAGAGACAGGTATGGTAGCACCTCACCTCCACCTCTCACCTCACCTCATCTCCATCTCACCCAGAATAGCTGGTGTTGGGTAGCCCTCGTGTTGCTTGCCTGCACAGCGTGACATGTTGCTTTGCAGTACTGATGGCAGGATCACTCACTCCTTGCAGCACTGGTGCTTGCTGTCTTTTGGCACGGGCTCTGCCTGGTCACCAGCTGGAGAGCCCCAGAGACTGTGAGCGACGTCCTGCCCAGGCGACGCAGGGAGCGCAGTCTGGTCCCAGAGCAGAGGATCTCTGTGGAGCAGCTGAAGGGAGGAGGGTGGTGCTTGTCCCAGCTGTGTTTTTGCAAGTGGTGCCACTGCTCCATCAATGAGGGATTTGATGAACTGTTTCCATCGAGCACATCGTGCATGTGCAGTCAGAGCAGGGAGTGTGTCTCAGGAGACCGAGAGGAGGTGTGGGGAGCCCGGCACAGTGTCTCTAGCCTGGCAGGCTGTCGGGAGTTAAGAGTGGATGGTGCCTTCTGGGCACTGGTGTAGTGTTGCTGCATGTCCAGGTGTGGTGTCTCTTGCCAATTTTTTTTTCACATCTCTGAAAATCGTCAGACTTAACAGCAAAAATCTGTCCTATGATGAAAGGCACAATGCTACAGCTTTTCAGCAGCTGTCAGAGCTTCCTGGTGCAGAACTCTAACAGTAAAGGTCACCCTCCCTGCCCTGTACTCCCCACAGCGCTTTGTCAGCCCTGCTTCGGGAGAGCAGACCACTGCTGGGTTGCATAATCCTTAAGTACAGTTTTGGAAATCAAATCACATGTGTGCCTATAAGCCTGACATCAGGAAATAATCTCCCTGCCAAGGACGCCTCTCACTCGGTTTGCACACACCGCTGCTTTTTCCACGGTAATTCTGCCTCCCTTAATCCCCATTCATCATTTCTGCTTTTTGGAGAAGATTCCAGCGCAGTTGGCTGGAACGAGCACAGACTACTTGTCCTTTTCATCAGACCATCTGTTCCATCTGGACTTCTGTCCTTAGAAGAAGCAGTTGGCACCACTTACATCTTCCAACCAGCAGAAAGTTGCCTCTGTGTCAGGCAGAAACTCCCAAGAGATTCACAAATTCTCCCTTCTGTCATTTTGCCCTTCAAAGTAGCACTGCTCTCTAGCTCTGGTCATATTTAACACAGCGAAGCACTTCATTAACATCTTCAATCTTTTACCATCTCATGTCAACTCCGTCAGTGTTAACATCGTGTTTCTTTTAGCTGAGACAGTCATTCCTCTCTCCTCCATCCTCCTCTTCCCTGGCAGGCTTTAATGCTGTGCCATGTCAGTGGGGTTACACAGCGCGGGGATGGGTGTATCTGCTGGCTGAATGTCATTTCTGGTGTGCGCACTTCATGTTTGAGACGCCGTGTTAGTGGCTGGGTGTTTTGTGTTTTAAACACAAAGTTGCAGGTGTTTGGATGGGCAACACCCACCTGTGGAAAAATGCCTTACCAGTTTGGATCTTCCCCTTCCAAAAGGAAAACCTCAGTGTGTGAATTCAAAGTTGCCTTTGCTGGCCCTGTGTAGCTGGCATGAGATGGAGTATAAAAGCACGTTCTATCTTAAAAATTTGCCTGCATCTCTGTGGCAACTCCTGGCCCCTCTGACAGTTAAAGTCACTCCTGCTGGAAACAACACATTAGATTGATTTAAAGTAGGCAATGATTAGCAGGTTCAGGATGTGTTTAAACAATAGTCTTGGCCTCACGTGAACACCTTTCGCCCTAAAGAAGGAGGGAGGCAGAAACGAGAGGTGCCTTACAGGGTGTTTTGTCTGCCCGGAAGCCTGCATGATTTACATGCGACCTCGTGTATCCGCTGCAGAGAGCAGCTCCCTGCCCTGGTCGCTGCTGCTGCTCCCGTCACCCTGTCCTGCAGTCCTGGAGGCGCGGGGCGTGGGTTGCTGGATCCGACCCTGCTCTGGGGCCCGCCAGGCTGTGGGACGGAGAGTGCGGGATGGTGGCACAGGAGGGGGTTTGCAGGCTGGTGTGTGGGCGATGCTGCCGCACCCCAGGGCTAATGAGCTCCCCTGTCCTGAGATGCCCCATCAGGGATCCTGGCATTCACAGGCAAGCAGGCAACTCCCTGCTCTGTCCCACCCGTCCCTTGGCAGGGGCTCTGGAAATGCTGCAGCCTTCTCAGGCTGTTTAGATTTTTTTCTTTTTTTATGCTGCTGTTTTCCTGGAATCCCTGAGAAAGGCCTGGTGTGTCGTGCAGGCTGTCTGCTGTTAACTCTCAAAATCCCTGTCCAAACTGTGGTGATGCTCTGGTCTGCTGTGCTTTGTGTACCTGCTCCCCATTTGGGGCAAATGGTACCCCAAAAGCCCAGACCATGAGATTCCAAGTTAATGAAGGGCTTGCTGTGATCAGCCATGAGTCTTCTGGATGGTCCAGCTCGTTCCTCCAGTGACAGAGGTAACCTTGTGCTTTGCTGAGTCCCCCTCCCTTCCTCCTGCCAGTGCACGCTGGTGTCGTAGATTTGGCTGATGCATTAACATAGCACAAGGGATTGCAGCAACACCAGCTCCTAGTGCTGACTCCCTCTTCTCTTTGGATTGCAAACAAGATTGGTGTGAAGAACAACGGGATTTGTGGCTGTTCTGACTGTAGCTGGCATCAATCGGTGATGGAGCACAAGCTCTTAGCTGGCTCCCAGGCAGCTCTGCAGCTCAAGGTGTACATTGACTTTTGAATGTTAATGAATCTTGCTGCCTCTGGAAAGATACTTGATATGTGATCCTGGCAATCAGAGACCGCTCAGTTCCTAGAGCAGTGGATGTTTGCCCTGCCCTGCCTGTCATGTACTTCAGCCTTGAGTGAGAGAAGTCCCTTCTGGGGCCAAAAGAGGGGAATTTGCCTGCTTGCAGGGATGAGGCTCGGAGTTTTGGATGGGGGAGGATGGGGAGGAGTTTCCCCTTGTTGAATTGGGCATTTCATGCAAGTTTGGATCTGTTGCAGAGCTCTAAGCCTACAAAAATAAGAAGCTCTTTTCTTCTGAGTGAAGTAGGAAAATGAAGTTGTCTTGGTTGGGAGCTGAGGGCTCGGGGAGGCGGGGGAAGGCTGTTTCAGCCAGGCACAGTCTCCCTTTGGTCCCACAGCAGGCTGGAGGAGCAGCCTTCGCAGTGGGTGGGGTTCGTCCGGCTCCTGAAGTTTCAGCAAAACCAGCTGGGCAGCTCAGAAATTGCTGTTTCCCCAAAACACAACAGCCCTCACAGGGCAGCAAACCAGACTGCTTACGGGTTTAGCACAAAGTCAGATCCTTTTGAGCTTGGAAAGCTGGCTGAGCGCGGTAAGGGAGGCTGCCCTGTGGAATGAGTGACACAGGGATTTGTTTTGTTCTTCCTGGGATGTATCTAAAACAACTTTAAGACTGGTCTCTGGGATTTGTCTCTTCCTTCCAGACAAGGAAATAGTTCCCTGTTGATAGATGGAATCCAAACAACAGTTCAATGCTGCAGAACTTTTGGAAGCAGATTTTGGAGTATTGTATAGCTTGTGTAGCCCCTAAAGTATGGAAACCAGATACTACAGAAAATGTCCCTTCCCAGTCTAGAAGGCTGATCCCCCAACCTAATCTGTTGTGGGTACAAGAAACCAACTGCACAACTTGCTGTAGGACTGGAACCAACTCTCAGTGTTTCTGCATAGAAGGAGGCTATTTCAGTGGCTGCTTATTAAAGGCATATTGATCTGGAGCATCTTTTTTTGGAAATGGCAATGAGCCCCATTCCCCTTCCCACTTTTTAATGAAAACAGCATTTTCTGAAGTGTAGTTGTGGGTTTATGCAGGATCTGAACGATGCTTTCCCCTTTGCCTTTTCACCTCTTCCTTTTCATCTCTATTTTCTAACGATATTAATGGCCATTAGACTGTGAAATGTAATTTGCCCGGAATACAGACCTCCCATTGTACATGGCTTTCAGCTTGCCAGACGATCCCTTTGGAACATGAGATCTGCTTTCATCTGCTACAATTTCACCCCTGTTAACGTTTGGAAGCTGAAAGGCCAAGCCATATTAATATTCAACAGAACGTTTCAACTCTTTTTCTCCAATAGGGGAAACTGGCCTTGGTAAGTCCACCCTCATGGACACACTTTTCAACACCAAGTTTGAAGGTGATCCAGCATCTCACTCACAGCCTGGGGTCCAGCTGAAATCCAGTACCTATGACCTGCAGGAAAGCAACGTCAACCTCAAACTGACTATTGTGAGCACAGTGGGCTTTGGGGATCAGATCAACAAAGAGGACAGGTGAGTGAAGGAGGAGAGAGGCTGTATCGTGACCTGGTTTTCTCATGCAGGGTCTCTCCCTGTGCCCTAGTTGGGCCAGACTGCACTGTAAAGTTTTCCTCCTTCCTTCTTATGGTTTGTCCTTGTCATCTCTTTGGGATGGGACAGGTAGAAGAGAGGACAGAGACTGTGGTGTGTCAGCACTGCTTCAGCTATCAAAGCAGTTTTTCTCATGCTGTCAGAGCAATATCTGCCCTGCTGGCAGCCTTCTGCCCGAATTCATCTGGTGGGGAGAGCGGAGAGCTCCAGGGCATCTGTGCTTGTTTCCTTGTGCTGTGCTGACCGCAAGCTGCCGACCAAACCACTAGCGTGGTCTAGCGACTGCTTGGCTTAACAGCCACTTCTGGCAGGGCTCTTCCATGTTGCCAGAGGAAGCATGGTAAATGTGCAGTGAGATACCCCGGGGAAGCATCTCTGGCAGCTCATGTCCCAGCGTGGCTAGAGCGTGGCGGTTAAGGGGTGTGTGATTCCACCATACTGTCTCCAAGGTGCATCTTCACAGAAGCATTGCAGATGGGATTTGCTTTGTTGTGGGTCTGTTAGATTTTCTTTTTAGTTTTGTTTAAGATGCACTGATGTCCTTTATGTTGTGAGTCTGACAGGCTCTGTATTTCAGATGGCCTTGCAAGGGAGTTGCAGGGATTTCCTGCCCCGGAGCACTGGGCAAAGGCAGTACTGAATGGAGATGTGTCTTCCACCTGCAGGACTCGGGGCTCTGAGAGCAGCAAGCTGTTCGCTCCCTGAGTGCAAGCAAGGGTTACACACTGCTGCGAATGAGTCTACATTATCCTTCCTTTTAAAAGTCTCTCACCCTCACATTTCAAAGTATGAGAGTCCACTTTCCCTGGAGAGTATGGTGTGTCTCGTGTCCTCTGCTGAATCTCCAGTACTGTGTTTTGTCAAACAGGCTGCTAGAGTCTGATGTAGGACCACATCTCCTTGTCAGTAGTGCAACTTTTAAATTTCTTACGGGTGGGTAGGAAGGGAGATTGGGAGAATTGGTCTTGGGAAGTGAAATCTAACAAGCAGCTTGTTTCTTAAAAGCAAGTAAAGGAGCACTGTCTGTTTACCTCTCTGACTGCAAGATGTATAACACTTTTTTTTTTTCCTTTCACCAAAGCTATAAGCCCATCGTTGAGTTCATTGATGCTCAGTTTGAAGCCTACTTGCAAGAAGAACTGAAGATAAAAAGGGTCTTGCACACCTACCATGACACCCGTATCCATGCTTGCTTGTACTTCATTGCTCCGACAGGCCACTCGCTGAAATCCCTGGACTTGGTAACAATGAAGAAGCTTGACAGCAAGGTAGGCGTGTTTAACTCTTACTGGGCAGGTTCGCCATGCGTGTGGTGGAAAGGCTGCTGCTTTTCCAGGGCACATCTCCCCGCCTTGAATAGCCCTTATGCTAGTGGAGATGACTGGGTTGCAGATAAATCCTGTAGATTTACTGAGCACTTTTAAGTTTTTGTAAGTTGTATTGCAGACTTGGAAAAACTCCCTGGAGCAAAGCTGAGGACTTCTTACCACTATGTTCCTTTCTAGGTGAACATCATTCCCATCATTGCCAAATCTGATGCCATTTCCAAGAGTGAGCTGACCAAATTTAAAATTAAAATCACAAGTGAACTGGTCAGTAATGGGGTTCAGATCTACCAGTTCCCAACAGACGATGAATCAGTGGCGGAGATAAATGGGACCATGAATGTAAGTGACTCAGCGCTTCCTCCTCTTCCAGAACAGCACTGTCACTGCAGGGATTGGTGGCCCGTATTGGGGTGCTTCTTAAATCCACTTTCCCTTTTATTTTGTGTCTTAAACCCAGAGGATTTCACAGGGATCCCATCCTTGTAGTGTCATCCTAGGCTAGCAGAGCCTTGTGGTAGGCTACTGCCTCTCTGGTGGGCTTTTCTAGTCAGAAAACAGACGGTCTTTTAACCCCTTCCTCGTCCTAATGCATATCTGTTGAGGGACACGTAGGAAATGGGATAGATGGTGAGGCCTAGCTGCGCAGAGCAAGGACAGTCCCGGCTTATGAATTAGTCAGATGGGTATTATCCATCTAGTGTGGGGAGCAGGCTGTCTACAGACATGCACATCTCTGCTCCTCGCCCTGCCTTTTTCGCACCAGTTTTGCTCTCCTGGGCTGGTGTTTCCTGCGAAGCCCTGCCTCCACGGGTGTCTCCTCTTGCCTGTGGCTGTCCTTGCAGCAGAGCCCCTTCAGCTGGCCAGCTCTGGGACTCCTGTCTGCACTGAGTTGCTGTTTTATTATTGATCAAGTTACTTAGCTGGGTCCTTGGTCTGGTTTGGCCTTTTGGCTCTGGTGCTGTTGGTCAGAATGGATGGACAGGGGGATACAACGAGGCTGGTTAGAGCAGTGGCTTCCCTTGAGCTACATTCCAGTGCTGATGTGAGTAATACAACACAAGGGTGGGATCAGAGGCCCATCCAGCCCAGTGGCCCTTCTCTTCCCTAAACATCTGCTTTTGGTCACTTTTGGAGTATATAAGAAGAGAGGGAATGTGTACAATGCTTCACTTCCCCCAAATACTTCCCTAACCTCTAACCACATTCAGCTCAAGGGTTTCTCTAGATTTCTGTCCCACGCATCACCTGATGCCCCCCCACCAGTGCACTTCCAGGATCCTGTGGCAAGGAGTCACACAGCTTAACCAGCAACATGTGAAAAACAGTACACAAATCGGGCCAAGCATCTCTCGAGGTGCCTGCAGGTGCTCGTTCTGGCTCTGGTGTTCCTGGCATTGTGGCTGCCTGTCTGTGGCTCCCTGAAGATGGAGCAAGCTGTCCCTTGGCCCCTCTGGTAGTGCATCCTGACCATGCTCCCCTTTTTCCAGAAGGCTTTTTACAGGAAAGCAAGTAGGGGAAGTTGCTTGCTTAACTGCTGTTGATGAAGTACAGGTCTAGCTGACATGCTTTTGTGTCGTCTCTTGATCTAATATTGATAGTTGTAGAGTTTTGTGGAGAGGCCTGAAAGAAACATGAAGTTTGTCGTACCATAAGAGCTGTCAGTTGTGGTTTCCTGGTCAGAGTAGTTTTGTGATGGCATCTTTCTCAGTGCTTAGCGCTCTCACTGTGCAGGACTACCGTTACTCCTGGAAACGAAGATGCAACGTCACTCCATCCTCAAGGAACCAGAGGTGTGGTGACAAAGGGAGAAGTTCTCTCCCCTTGGCCCTTCTGAGGGTGGAGGTAACCTCTGATCGTCTTTCCTTTCAGCCATTTACATGTATCCTGGGAGGGAACTGCTGTCTTGGGTCACAGATGTTCTAGGTTGTGTCAGCTGCTGCACAGAGAGATCAGCTCTTTAAATCCTCCATTAAACTGATATAAATCATAACTACCAGGTTTATGGGGACTAAGCAGGCCAGACTCTGAATCTGATCAAGGCAATTTTGCAGACCTGGAAAACTTGTATTTTGTTAGCAACATAAGACAAATCTGCTTATGCTTCAGGTCAGGAGATGAGCTTGTGGAGGGATCGAGACCAGTAAAAGAGCCAGGATGGGTTGATTTAGGTTTGTGACTTAAATTGCCAATTTTAGTCATGTTTAAAATTGAGGAACAGGAACCTCTGATTTAAATCAGTTGCCTTAACCTTTGTGTTTGTACTTCTCTACAGAAAGCTTCATTGTCTTTGCCTGTTACAGATCAACATCTTTGAAAGGTTATAAATGCAGTCTTCATGCTTAAGTAGTGCTTCTTGCTGACCAGCAACTTCTCTGGAGCAGTTACGTTTGGATTTTTTTTTCTTTTTTAATTACAGAGAAAATTGAGACTGGTCTTTTGATTACTTAATGTTTTGCTTATAACCTGCATTAGTTGTCTTTTGCATGAAAAGTAAAATTAAGCTTTAAAATATGCAAACTCGCTATTTCATCTGCATTTTACTTTATTATATCCACTTGTGCCGGATGCATTAGGAATTTTTTTCCAGAGTATTTTGCATTCCAAATTGGCTTACTAAACACAGAAAATATTGCCTGATTTGGCAGGAGTTGATTAACTGAAGGATTTAAAATCTGTGCCATCATGATCAGAAACAAAAGTATTTAACCATGAACAAAGGCGTCAAGTGAAGTATTTAGAAAATAATCAGATTAAACATATCTTCAGAACAAGATGCCTGATTTTCCTTGAAACTGATTTGGTCTTTTTGAGAATCCCACCAAGCATATATTTACAAGTTCAGAGAAAACACTGTCCAAAATTCTTTAGGTCTCTTCCCATCTGGATTTTATTCAAATAAGAAAAACAAGCGCTCCTATTCTTTCAACTCCCTATTGGCTTTTCCATTTTGAATGGATTAGTCTACTGAAAAAAATATTCTTCCTGCACCTGCTAGTTAAATGAAACCACATGCAGCTACATGAGCTGTCCCACATGGTGGGAGCTGGGACTTCCTTGCTGATGGAAGAAGGAAATCACCAGCACTTTCTCCCTGGTAAAGACAGCAGCTGAAAGGTTGGTACCAGTGGAGGAAGCGACTCTGCTGTTGAGGGTAACCGGGCCCATGGATGGCCGAGGTTCAGGCTGTGCCTGTGTGGCCATAGCGTGGTGTTTCTGCCACTGTCTCAGGTTGCTCCTCTTGCTCCCATCTCTTGCTTTGTCCCTTGGAAATCCCCTTACTTCACTCTCCCAGAGATCTGGATATGAAGCAAACAAAAAGCATTTACACCTGTGGGAGAAGCCGACCATGGGATGTTCCTCATGGACAGTCTGAAGAAGCCAGCAGGGAGGTCTGGAAGCTCTCGCCCAGAAGCGGCAGGATGGGAAGAGGAGAGAAGTGGGCAGCTCTGGTGGGCTGTGGAGGAGAGGGTCACCAGTGGGGAGCACATTGCCTCTAGCAAACATTCTTCTGATCCTGTGTCCTGGATGGGGAGCGACTGGCCTGAAACCTCAGGCGCCACAGAACTGCGATGGCTTTTCCTCTGGAAATAGCACTGTGTAGGCCTGCAGAGGAGGCTGTAGCCTTTGTGGGGTTTAGTACCTGGCCGTTTCAGAGTTTCCAGCAGTTGGACACAGGTACAGACCAGTTCCAGCATGTCCCGTGGTGAGGAGCCCGACCTGCCATCGGTGAAGAGCCCACCAGTGCCTGGCAGTAGCCAGCATGTCCCCACGGTGTGATGTCTCCGGTTCCTCCCAGAGCAGCCGAAGGTGGCATGGGGCCCTTGCTCAGCCCTGGGGTCTCTGCTTGCCCTCTCCCCCGTCAGGCTGCCTGACAGTGGCTGCACAACAGGACGCCACATGACATGCAAGGCCTGTTTGCAGCCAGTGGAGAGGCAGAGACCTGCTCAACTGGGACTGCTGATGATTCTTCTTGACCCCATGTGCAGAAGCGTTTGTGGATAGTGCTGCTGCTTGTGTGTGGTCTGTCCTGAAGGCAGGAAAAACTACAGCTTGTAGAAACGAGGCAGCAAATTGTTCCTTTGAAAGCTGGCTAGGGGAGTTTCCCTCATGTTGTGGTATGGAGGCTGTTCAGTTGAGACAGCTTTGTTTCCTTCCCCTCCAGTGTTTTGTATCCCCCGCCCTTTGCGATTAGACAGCCTCCTGCTGAAAATCAGATGCCTTCAACCTGGGAGACCACTTTCTTTTCTCTGCTGCTTGGCCTCTCCCACAGGGAACTTACCCTGCGCAGAGCAGGCACAGCTCCGTGCTGGCCTGTGTCCCTCCAGGTGCTAGCGCATCAATGTGATTGCAATGGTAACTTGGCACGGAGAGTGACCTAGGAGGCCCCGGTGCGCAGAGCCTCTGCGTGGCCCAGGGTGGCCCCATCAGACTGACCACAGCCCCACTTAATCTGCGTGTGTCCCATGTGAGAGCTGGGAGGCCAAGGGATAAAAGCTGAAGAGCCCACCTTTGTGAGTGCTTGCAGGTGGTTTTACTGTATTTGCAGTTGGACTATATGAGCCACGCTCTGAAAGCAGAAAACATCATCTCTGAAATCTTTCGCTTGTACAAGCTGTCATGAACTTGTCCAAGTTTTCAGATAACCTGTGGAATTAAAACTTCACTACCTGCTCTTGACAACAACCCAGGGTCACTGATCTCCCACATAATTGGCTTCCTGGGGCCCTTTTAATTGCCCAGAACTCAGCGCACTTTAAAAGCTCTAGCTAACAAATGTCACTGCGCAAAACTCAGCAGAAGGGGTGGGTGCAGGGAGCTGGCAACTTTATTTTTAAGTGCTGAAACCTTGCACTTGACTTCTTTGCAGCTTGGCAGAATGCAATATCATTCGCAGGAGCAAGCGGAGGTGGGGAGAGATCTCACTTATTGCACAACAGATAAATGCAGCAAAGTACGATAGCAGTGTCGGGGGGATTTGCTTGGCTGCCTGAGTTTGGGGAATGAGAGGAGTATAAGGTGAGGTCTTCTGAACCTCGAGAGATGTCGGGAGTGTTTCTGTTCCAACTCTGCTGAGCTTGCACTGGGCGATTCTCTTACTTTTTGCCTTCTGCAGAGAGACTATCTATCTTCTTTACTAAGAAGTGACTTTTTTATTTCTGAGTTTTTGAAAAGGAAATCCCTCTTGTTCTTAGCCTTCACGTACTTGTAACAACTGTACTCTGTGGAGTGTGTGTCTTGGCTTGAAGAGTGTAACAAGGCACAGTTGAGCTAGTGGTACAGCTCTGCTCTGCTGTCCCCAGGATCCTTCCTCATGGGTGTGATCCCCGGATTTGGCATCCTTTGTCCTCTAGCTATGCAGCCATCTAGCAGTGGCTGCACGTAGCATCAACATCATGAGGACTTTATAAAGCCATCAGCACTCCTTTGGGTTTCTCAGAACCAGTTTTGATAAAGGATTTGGGAGGGGGGTGCTGAGGGTGGGCCCCAACAGAGCTGCAGGAAGTGTGAGGCACTATGGAGTGTTAGCATGGGGCAGGCTCAGCACAGCCCCAGGGAATGCAGAGTCCTTCCCAGCTCAGCCTGGGGCAGACCTCAGGGCACACATGGATGCGGAGGCTGACCCGGAGCAGGGACATGTTCAGCCCTTCCTCACCAGGGCTGAAGCAAGCAGGGAGGAAAACTGTTACTCTGGGGGTGAAGGAGGGACTTTGATCTCATGATCTGATAGAGCGAGTTGTCTTGTGCTCCAGTGTGAGCTGAGGGAGTGGTGGGGGGATAAAATCAAGAAGGCTCCAAGACCTCTTTTATTGCTTCTGTGCTTGTGCAGATGTTCTCCTCAGCCGCGGCAAGCCCCTGGGACAGCACCGCAGTCAGAGCCGCGCAGCACGTTGTTCAAGCTGTCATTCTGATGCTAGTCTTGCACTGGCTCATCTCACCTGAGACCCTGTGGCTGGGAGGATCAGTCAGGTAGAGGATATGGAGTGGTAGCACTAACAAGGTTTCCAAAAAGGACCCTCCCTTCTCCCCCCTTGTCTTGGGCTAGTGGCCAGTGACTAGACTCCCTGAGATTAGCGTGTGCATAATGACTGTCTTGCTCAGTGGCTGTGCTAATCTCTGTGTGCTGGCAAGTCAGCCAGAGTTGAGAGGGACTAACGTGGGTATCATTAAATGTGTTCCAGGCCCATTTGCCGTTTGCAGTGATCGGGAGCACGGAGGAGCTGAAAATAGGAAACAAAATGATGAAAGCTCGTCAGTACCCCTGGGGCACAGTGCAGGGTGAGTTGAGCCCTGGGATTTTCATGGCATGAATGGTGACACTTCTGCCAGGAGGCGGTAGGCTCTCATAAGAGGAGCAAGGGCCTGCTGGACTTTAGTATCTCCCTGGGGATTATCCTTTGGTAAATCTGTGTGTCAGGCCTATAGTGACAGTTTTCTCTGCTCAGAAGGGCTGTTAAACCTGTTGGAGGAGTAGACAGGTGTGAAATGTGGGAAGAGACCTTTGTTTCTGTCCCCATCTTACTCCTTATCATGTCTTCTTACAGTGGAGAATGAAGCTCACTGTGATTTTGTGAAGCTGCGGGAGATGCTGATCCGTGTGAACATGGAAGACCTTCGTGAACAGACCCACACACGCCACTATGAGCTGTACCGGCGATGTAAACTGGAAGAGATGGGTTTCAAGGACACCGATCCAGACAGCAAACCCTTCAGGTGGGATCCCTGGAGGAGACAGGAGAGCTCGAGAGAGGCATTGTTGGATGCGCTGCATGTGTGTGTGTGTGTGTCCTTGAGAGAGCATGTAAAGAACCAATGCAGCAAGAAAACTGCCAGGTCAGATAAATCCAGACTTCAGCAAAGGTGCTGGCTGAGTGAGAGAAGGTGAAAACACAGAGAGAGTGTGCAGGATTGACTGAAACTGCAAGTATAGGAGTAGAAGTGTCTGTGCTGCAGAGATACAGCAGTGTCCCTCTGAACTAGTGTTTGTGGCCAGCTGGTCTCTTTGAATTGCCCAACATTCAACATACAGAAAAGTGCAATAGCTTACAGACCCCAGAAACGGTTGGATAAAGAAGACCTCAGACACACGTGGGTGGGTGAGTGGCAAATGTGCTGTGGGCAAGCGATATTCATGGTGAGGGCCTGATTTCAGAGGCTCAGGGGAAGCAAGAGTTTGTCCCGAGTTATATCATTGGTGGATGCGCTATGTGTGTGTGTGTGTGTCCTTGAGAGAGCATGTAAAGAACCAATGCAGCAAGAAAACTGCCAGGTCAGATAAATCCAGACTTCAGCAAAGGTGCTGGCTGAGTGAGAGAAGGTGAAAACACAGAGAGAGTGTGCAGGATTGACTGAAACTGCAAGTATAGGAGTAGAAGTGTCTGTGCTGCAGAGATACAGCAGTGTCCCTCTGAACTAGTGTTTGTGGCCAGCTGGTCTCTTTGAATTGCCCAACATTCAACATACAGAAAAGTGCAATAGCTTACAGACCCCAGAAACGGTTGGATAAAGAAGACCTCAGACACACGTGGGTGGGTGAGTGGCAAATGTGCTGTGGGCAAGCGATATTCATGGTGAGGGCCTGATTTCAGAGGCTCAGGGGAAGCAAGAGTTTGTCCCGAGTTATATCATTGGACTTTCCTTTCTTTTTAGCTTACAAGAAACTTATGAAGCCAAAAGAAATGAGTTTCTGGGGGAACTGCAGAAAAAGGAAGAGGCAATGAGGCAAATGTTTGTCCAGAGGGTGAAGGAAAAAGAAGCAGAGCTGAAGGAGGCTGAAAAAGAGGTGAAGACTGCAGTACTTGTCTCTTCATGGTTGTGAGTGATAGATCCACTCCCAAGTAGGTAGCTGCTGCCAAAGCACTTTCTGCAGAGTGTGGTTTAAGACTTTCTTATGAAGAAGTCTAAAGTTTAACCTGGGGTCACGGGGACATTAAGGTGTTCATCCTGTAGGACAAAACTAGATCACAGTGCTTGTAGTGTACAACTTAACTGCACCATGAAAGTGCCATAGTCTTGATTCTGATTAAGAGTTGCAGTGTGGCAAAATTCAAAGAGAGAAACAGCCCGATACAAGCTTGTTATATAAAAAATATACCCATACAACTTGCTTAGCGTTGTGAAAAATCCATTAATTTACTGACCTTTAAAGCGGAATAAGGCAGAGACCCCTGGAAATGGATTAAATTTTTTTTACAGTTATACTCTCCCAATCCTCTATTGTTAGTCTGTGCAATGGTGCATCACTAGAATGCTGCCTGGATTGTAAGCTGTTGTGGAAGGAGACTGTTCCCTGCCTTTTGTCTACACAGTGTCAGCTCAGGGAGCTAGAAGTGATGTAGAGACTAATGGAGACTTGCAGGCTCAGATCTCATGGGATCCTTCCATCTTCCTCTTTTCCTGTGAACAGAATATCTGGTAGTGCTGGGTCCTGCTCACCTCTCTCCTTTCCCTCTAGCTGCACGAAAAGTTTGATCGCCTGAAGAAGTTACATCAGGATGAAAAAAAGAAGCTAGAGGATAAGAAGAAGTCTCTGGATGATGAAGTAAATGCATTTAAACAAAGGAAGACAGCAGCTGAATTGCTCCAATCTCAGGCTCAGCAGGCTGGAGGATCGCAAACTCTTAAAAGAGATAAGGAAAGAAAAAAGTAAGTTGCTAACCCAGTGGTATTTGCTTTTTGGTAATGGTTCTCCTTCACTATTTTTCTGGATGTTCATACCTCTCTCCCAACCTAGCCAGTCCTCTTCAGGAGAAGGTTTGCAGCCAGATTTAATCCCTAGTAAGGCTGAGCAGTGGCTGGAAGCATTTTACCTTTAGCTGTCATCTTGAAGAGCAGAGAGCGGTGCTAACCTCCCTCATTGCTGGCTGACAGCATGGGAGAGGATGAACTTGTTCTTAGTCCCTGAGATTCCCTGCTCCTCCCTTGGTCTGTCAGTGCCTGTAATGAAGTGGAACAAGATTGGCTGCCAAGGCTAGGGTGTAGGTAGCAGGACATCCCTGCTACCCCCAGAGATGAGTGTGTCCTGTCTCAGGCTCTTAATTGTTTAGGTTGGGAAAAAGCTTACACTGTGAAAATTATTCAGGGACGCTAATAGTCTTGAATTCTGTAATCTGCAAAATGTAAGGCTGCAAAATGAGGGGACAGGTCATAGCTCCTTGTTAGCGCTAGTACTCTCTCCAGCCTTAAATCAGCTTTTTGCCCTCCACAGAAACAGTGAGAGATACTGCATGGCTTTAGCAGGGGTTCCCCATGCCAGGGACTGGTGTAACAGGATCCAGCCCCTCGTCAGGGTCCTGTGATCTGGGCTGTCTGCAGTGCGCGTGCCAGGCTCCTAATACTCTGCAGTTGCTCAAGAGCAATGGGCTGTACAGCTGAAACAGGCCTCCCAGTTCACCTAGCAATGAGCAGTTCCTTTTCTTCTCGCTGTGGTACGTTTCCCAAAATGGAGTGCTGTGCCACCTTAGCACGTGCACAAAGAGCAGTATGCAGATAAACAAGGGTCTGGTTTCTATACCACTGCCATAATCCCCTCTCTGCACATCCCTGGGGCAAATCCAGAGTAAATCTTGCCTGCGCTACGCAGTCTTAAGTACATGGAGAAGTGCTGTTAATATGAACAATATGGCACGTGCCCAAAGAGCTGACAGGACTCTTTGTCAGGGAAAATAGCCCATGACCGTTAAGCTTGGAATCAAATGAGACAGGAGAGGAAAAACCCAATAACCAGAATGAGATCCTGGTTTAGTCGTCTTAGTTTTGAGCTGGAGCTGCTTCAATGTCAACATTCTTTTGCGATGAGCAATTAGTGCTCCTGCCCTTTTCTCGCTTGTCCGTTCCTTTTTCCACTGCGTAGTTTGATTTGCTCTTTTGAATTACCTTCAGGGGGTTTTAATATCTTTTCATACTGAGGAGCCTGAGACTGACTGGGGACAGACTTCTCTCCCCAACCTGGACTTTGTGAGGAATACACAACTGAGTTCTTTCATACTTAGAGCCCTCAGACATCTGCACACTGAGGACTGCAGACTTCAGCCCTGAGATCAGTCAGGGTCAGGAATGCAGAAAAGGGAGACGACATGCCTTATAGTATGAGCAATTAGTCGCTGTGGTCCAAGTCACACTCTTGTTCCTAGAAGCAGTTCTGATCTCAGAAGAGCTCCTTGACACCAGGCACATTCATATGGAAGAGCATTGGTACCGTCCTTGTCAGTTAAGGACACAGAAAGGCACAGAAAACTCCATGAAAGAGATAGGTCAGTGCTTGAGTAGGGCTTGGGAAGATATTAGGAGGCCTCTCTCTCCTCCAGGAAAATAGCTGTGTTAGAAATGGTGCTGCTTTCTTTACTCTATAACTTCTCCAATTGTCCTTAATGATTCATTTCAGTATTTAGATCATAAATATCTCTAATAATCCATGAATTTCACAAGCTGTAGCTTAATTGTATTTGTTTACTACTGGCTGGCAGTACACTAGCCTTTTTCTTTCACAGGTGACTCTTCTAAACCCAAGCTCTGTAATTTGCACTAATCATGACTTGGTTTCTTTTTTTTTTTACATCATTATCATCATTATATTAGCTCTTACATGTATGCTGTTTTACAGTTAGCTGCTGTTTGGCTGCATGGTGCATGAGGCACATTGTCCTGGTAAGCGTCATTAACTAATATAGACCTCACAGTGGGATCAGTTACATTTCCTAAAAAAGCAGACCCTGTGCAAGTCCAGAAGCCTATAAGTATTATCTCTCTCTTCCTCTGCTTTCACCCTTACTATACATGCTCTATCAGTCTCTTTCTACATACACAGTTGTCGAAAAAGGATGCAATGAAGTTTGTCTTTAAAGATTCTGCAAAGTAAAATGCAGAGAGGCTCAGTATTAGGACACTAGGACATGAAACGTAGAAAAATAAGGATTAGGTCCTCTTCCTTTTAAACCTTCCCAGCACTTTGTTGGCTCCGTTTTCTTTACTCCATCTCCCTTAGAAATAAATTACATTCTTTAATCACATAGGCCATGTTGATACTATGGCAACAATTGCTATGGAGATGTGGTGCTGATGATAAACCCAGCTAGCCTGAAAATGTCTTTTCCCCTTCTCCTCCTTCCCTCCCACCCCTCCAAGTTGTAGTGTTAACTTGTGGTTACAGTGCAGGTGAAGGTAGATGCAAGACTAGTTTCTATCCCCCCCCTTCACATACTAACAGATGGTAAAATCTGCCAAACCTGGAGCTTTCCTTTGTCCCAAAGCACCAGAGAATCACCAAACTCTGTGTGTGTATGAGTGTGTGTGTATGTATGTATGAGAGGGCGTTAAAGAAGCTGCTGCCAAGTAACCAAACCAGTATTCACCTGCTGACCGATTATAGTTGATTGTCCAAAACCACAAGAGATGATGGGCTGAGCATTTAGCAGATAATGAAGGCTCTGAAGATAGACTGAGAGACTTTATGACATTTTTAACAGTCAAATGGGTCACCCATGGATTGGATGTTCAGTTGTAGCGGACAGACACAGACCCACGCTCCTGGGAGCCATGCCAAGCGTGCCCACGGTTAGGGTAAGGCTAGTGGTAGAAGAGGGCTGTATTCAAGATGTGTCCAGAAAGCCTGCCAGAACACTTTGCCCCTGAATAAGGCCAGCATCTGAGTTCCTGAGGAGTCTTGCCAAGGCGTGGAGAGCTCCCACTGGAGCAGAGCCCTGTCAGTGGTGTCATGCTGTGACTCTGCTCTGCTCCAGTTGCTGTGCCTCTGTCCAGAGTGTCTCTGCCTTCATGTGAGCAGGGATCTAAGTTGGCCACATAGTCATAGGCAGGCTTGTGGAACAGATAAGGTTGCCTGAAAGGGTTAACAAACCTGGCCATAAGCAAGTGTCTGCAGTGCAAAGTGCCAGCATCTGTTGTAAAATGAAGGCTCATTTAAACAAAGATGCGTAAGAAATGCACCTGCCTGGCAGGAGAGCAGCATCCTCATTAGGGTTATTAGTTAAACTGCTAATGACAGTGGTCTACTTACAGCTAGGTTGACTGTGTTTAATTGAGCCTTTTTAATTTGCTGTTGATTCTCTGGTGAGAGGAAAACCAAAGCTCCCACAGGAATGTCTTGCTTCTTGACAGAGCAGCAATACTTATTATCCAAGGCAAGGGTGACAGCACCCCAGGCTGAGGTGTGCAGGAGAAGGGACCTGTTGGAACAGCAGCACTTAACTATAAAATACCCTAAAAACTCAGCCTCGAGTCCACCCTTCCCTGTAGACAAAGCTAGGATTTACATTCTCGCCAGGATACAGTCCAAACTAACTTACGGTCTGCCCTTAAATAGGGAAAAGCTGATTCCAGGATTCCTTCCCTCTTAGCTCCACCAAGGGAAATGGAAAACAAGTAAACATTACGCTGTCAGTGAGAGGCATTTGAATTTAATTTCAATGGGACGTTCCACTTAACAGAAGAGCTTCAGAAGGGTCTTGCACTGACTCGAACTGGAGCTTGCAGTCGTCTTGAGCAGTCCGGTTGAATGAATGTCTCTGCTGCCAACGGTAACTGTAAAACAATGAAAAGAACAATTCTCTGCTTATCAGGCTCTGAATGTGGAAAAATAAGCTCAAAGAATAACAGTGCTCATTCTGGTGCTGAGTACAAAGGCACGGCTAAAGTGCAGTTAGAGTGAACATTACTGATTTTTGTTGGGTTTGGATTGCTTTTGGCAGTCCTCGTAACTGTACACTGTTGTGTGCCGGGCTTTGAATCAAATGAAGTTCTTTGTTCCCGCTATACAAATGCAGACAGTGCCTTTTTCAATGGGCATTTGTCCTTGCTAAATTAAATATGTATATATGGTACTTTTCCAGAATTCAGAAAAATACTCTCCATATTGATCCATAAAGTATTGCAGGGCTCCACTGTTTTGCAAGGATACAAACAAGTCACAGTTGATGAGTCCTGTAGCTTGCAAAACTGTGGAAGGATTGTTTTAGACAATAAATTTGGTTCATCCCACTGCTGAGTGTGTGTGCGTGTATGCATGTGTGTGTCTGCATAAAGCATGTTTTGTAATCAAATTAAACCTTATTAACACTTAGCAACATTTCTTTTTGTGTGTGTGTGTTAGGAAACATTTATGTTCTTATTTTGTTTTTTGTCATTAATCCATAAAACCATTAATCTGCCTTTTTCTTTCATTTTCAGTTCGGGTTTCCTGTAGAACCTTTCCCTTCACACCAGAAGCGAATGCCCCCACACTCGGTTAACATGCAGCTATGCCATTGTGCCTGTTTGCTCACCTTTACTCATTGCTCCCTTCCTGCGCTCACCATTTTGTTTTAAGCAAGAGTCCGCACTCTTGGCTGTTCTGGGTTATGGTCGTTCTTGTGAAGAACTCAGCAATAGCCTTCGTGGAACTGGCAAGAGATGCTCATTGCTGATACCTCTTCGCCTTTGGGCAGTAGCGGGCTGCCGAGCGCTCGTAGGGCTAGTGTCCCCTCTGCTCCATTGCTCGGCTTTTTGTCTTTCCCTCCATTTTGTGCGAGGGCTGCATGGTAAGAGAGCGCGGCTGCTTGGTGGTGTGCATTTAGCCCCTGTCGTGGGACCGCTGTGAATGCAACCTGATGCTGCCATGGGGTGGGACGTGCCGTCTCGAGAGACTGGCTGCCCTCTCCCCTTTTCAGTTTGCTGTATCTAACCCCTCATTACCCCTCTGTGCTGCCGTGTGTGACTCAAATAATTTTAAAGGACTTTTTGCAAAACTTGACATCCTCACAGGCGTGGGCCTGAGTCCAAACCTCTAGTCCCCCGGCTTGGGGGATTCTCAAACTTGGATCCACGGTTTGCAACTAAGTGTTCTCTGAATGCTGCAGGGGTCACGAAGGATCTCTTGCCTTGTCTCCCTCTCAGTGTGCTGGCCTGGATGCACATCCTGGATCCAATCTCAGGGAAGGCTGGTCACCTTGCTGTACATATCAGTGTTTGTGAAGAAAGACGATGGTGTTTCTTTGACTTTCTTCTCAGTGATTCCAACAATTTCTGGTTTCAATGCAAAAAGTATTACCTTTATTTTTTTTTTATTCGGCATCTGTTTAGAAGTGTACAGATGCTGGCAGGTTGCTTCTCGTATTTTCTCTTCAGCAAAAGCCTTGCTTTACTGCAAGATTTGCACTAAAAAGGAGGGTGTTTTGCTCACTGGGGCCAGGAGTTCACTCTGGCCAAGCGCAACTGTGGTTTGCCTGCAGGTGTCTCCTCTGTGTATTTCTGGATGAGTTTTGTTTTTAAATAAAGACTTCATCAGACAGTGAATTCTGGTTAACATTTACTTCTTTTGTTTTTTGTTTTCTTTGCCCTTCTTTTACAGTAACCCATGGCTCTGTACTGAGTAATTACCCCTGAATACAGTGGGCCGGAATGGACCTTCATTTACTTGTTAAATCGGAGGGTCTAATAAAACGTGACAGCATTTCAGCTGTGACCTTTCCATGGTGTTACCCTTGCTCTCTCCTATATCCTCATTGTGATTCTGTCTTTACTATGTACTGGTGGTTATTGCTTTTATTAAACAATGTAAAATTAGTCCTAACAAGGTTTTGGATGCTGCAACTTTAAATCCTACTTTTTTTTTCCCCTGCAATTAATGGATTCCCCTTTCCCCTGGCCCCTCTCCACCCAGATAAATAAGGGATGTGGAAATAAGTTCTGTGAGTTATTTTTGCTGGCGAAATAACAACGCAGTTTAAATGTATTTATTGGTGACGTTAAAATGACAACATCACCTTAGTTTAATTATCATATAGTTGAGAAATAAAAAACTCTTTTCTCTTTATACTTGGTGTCATTTTCATGACATCATCTATCTTTTTTTATTTGCTTTTATTTTTTCTTTTGCTAATTCATGCTACCTGAAGACTAGCATGTAATCCTCGTTTCCATTTCAGACTTGCTTGTTGTGACCCTGATCCTTCAGTCGCACTGTGTGCAGGCTCAGTTCTCTGTATGTGGGTGAATCCACAGGTCCTGACCCTGCTGAAAGATCAGGATGCGTGCTGCCAAATAGTTTCAACAAAAACCCTTCAAATCCTGGGTTTTTGGAAGATAAGCACACCTCAGACCTAGCCGTGATAGGTAATGCTGGTTTTAGCGCAAGCCGCTGCTGAGAATTTTACTAGAAAGGTAGTCTGGATGATGCTCAAGCCTCACGAACAGTTTCTGCGTACGATGTGTTAGCCTGGCTAGCTGCTCGCGGCAGCAGCAAAGCTTATGCGGTAACCCAGATCAAACGACGGTCTGGCCTCCGTTTCCAGCAATCAAGGCAGTTAAAACTCTTGATTGCAATGTATTTTCTCAGGTATTCTGTTTCACCATAAATACAATTTTATTTCCCATAAAAGTCTTTGACTGTTTTGTGTTGTGGGTTTTTTTAAGCAAGTTAAAATAATTTGAGTATTTACTTCTTCCTCTACTGTTGAATGTCGGCCTGCTCCCAAAACCAGTCAGTATCAGTTTGTCAATGATTTCTAGATTACCTGCTAAAAGAACCATTTAATGTGGCTTTTTTTTACCGTACCGCAGGTCACTGGCTGTTCTTCCTGACCATTTGCCTTATTAGAATGTTATTTGAAGTTACGTAAAGTCTCTTTAAAGACTTTAAAGAAAAAAGGTTTTTATTTGTGTGATTTCCTTGAAGTACTCGAGGGTACCACAAGGAGGTTCCATCTCTTCTCTGTCAGCTGTTTTCATGTTGCATCTCTTTTTCCTGCTTTTTGAATGTCTTTCTCTTTTTTGCTAATCTTCTGGTTTTTTTTCTCTTTTTCCCCTTTTCTCTCTCTGTAGCTTTTTTTAATCTGTCTTCGCCAGCTGCACTGGGTCTGAGGGAGAAGACTGCCACTTCTAGAAGAGTTTAAGGGTCTTGTGTCTGGGGAGGGGGGGAACAAATCTTCAGTGTTAGTGTCTTGGAAAGAAGCTCTTTTACTGACTTGCATGGTATCTAAAATTGAAGTGTCTTGTAATTTGTGTGACAAGACAGCGTAATACGGGGGAACTGGTTGTTTACCTGGAATTTCGAAGAGCAACAGAAATGTGATGTTTGGACTAACGATGTAGCGAATACATTTTCAAACATTGTAATGGGCATATTTTTTTTTCTAATTTTGTCTTTAATAATATAAATGTCATGGGCTTCCACGAGGTGTCGAAGCCTAAGGAATATTTTCAATATGCTGTTGTTTGATTGGTTTTGGAAACTGTGCATTCAGAGTCAAAGGAAATACAAACATGGTGCAATTTGCTCTGTTGGCAGCCACGAAACATTTAACAAAGAAATAAAGTAAGAAGAACTGTGTGTTTTCATTGGTGTCCTCCTGTGTCTCACCACCTTATTAAACAAGCTCCATCGGCTGGTGGACGTGGGTCGAGTGGTGCTTTTCTTTTTTCCTAACTAAACCTCCTCTTGTTCTTTGAAGTCAGAAAAAAGTTAGCAGCATCAGGAGGGAGAGGCGATGCTGACAGCTGGTATGATAATAACAGCGATCCATCCCAATCCCCCGTGAGTAGGGTGCAGTGTCCTTAGAGTGTGCTGGAGCCAGCCCTCGCGCTTCTCGCTCCTCCGTCCTGCCCCGCTCTGCTGACTGCATGCTTTTCTGAGCTGCGATCTTCTCTTCCCCCTTCTCCTGGTTTTGTTTCCTTTTTACAAATGGAAGTGCGCGAGAACGGCACCGAGTTATATATTTACACGACAAACACTGAAGAACCAGCACTGTTTAGCCTGATACCTTTCTAACTTTAATGCAAATTTGAAATAAAAAATACGAAAGCCTGCCTGCGTGCTGTCGTGTTTGCTGCTCGCGCGTCCGGGGCTGAAGGAGCTCGCAGGACAAGGCGAGCTCTGCCCCGATCAGCCGGGTGCTGGGCCTGGCGGGTCGGAGCCGCTTTAGGTGGTCGCCGACGAGAAGAAAACCCAGCGCCTTCAGGGCGGGTGCGCGGTTTCGGCGGCGGGTTCTCTTGCCCC